AATTTCGGTCGTCATTGCGGTGGAGCATTTCCTTTGTCTCGCGACATACTGCAAGCGGTGGTCCAATCTAATAGATACACGTACCAATCATCAAAGTGACAGGCAGAAGCTCGCGATTCATGCATTGATAGTCCACCCCCATTCACAAATAGCTCACTAATCCACCCTCAATGTTTTCTTTGCTCACTTATAATTTGCTCAACCCTCAAAGCCCCTTCTTGTCGGCGAGTTCAACTTGTACGTACGTATGTAAGTGCGACTATGATAGAGCTTCCACCATCTTTCGTGTATTTAACCAAGCACACTTAATTTTAACATTTCTTCCTTCATGTGAAGGAAATCAAAATTAGATGATTACGTGTTATTGTTGCAGATTTACTATATAGCTATAGCCTCCACCTCAGTGCAGTTAAGCATCGAGCATAGAGCTACTTAACACGTAATACCATTTTAAGCATGTGCGCTCAATTACTCCTACCAGCCGTGGATGGCTCCCTGCTGAGTGACGAAATGGTTGAAAAACTTGAGTTTGCAGGATAATCGTAAGATCTGTAGGTGTTGAAATGCTTCTGGTTCCGCCTCCCAAATAATGCCCCCTTTACATACATATAGGTATATATATACAAGTATGTACTTACTGTGAGTACTAGAAGCAGAAGTAGGGTTGGTGGCTTTTATAGCAGAAGAGGTGGATTTCGAAGCGAATTTTATCAAACAAGCTTTATTTTGGCAAAATGATGACACATTCATGGCATATTTGAGACGGGTATTTCATTTGTAATTTCTTAATTTCCTTATGATAGTTCGCTTAAGTTTCAACTATGTGATATAGCCTTTTCTGGGAGGACGAAAAGAAAGTCTACATTTGATGCATAGTTCCAGCCACTTTATTCCAAAATACCTCAGCTTTAATCCAACGAAAGAAATTCCACTCAAATTACGCTTAATCTGCCACCAAATCATTCAATTATTTCGCATTTCGCATGTGCTTCCTGCAGAAGAGTAGCCAATTTGTTGTCGCTGCAATAAAGGCCTGCATTACAAATTCACCGAAAATCGAATACTCAATTTAAATCTTTTAACAATTTGCACAAAAATGTTGCAATTTTGCCAAGCGGCGACATTGATTACGAAAGCCACAGTCGCGAGGCGTGCACGGGCTTCATAAAAAGCATAATTATTTCCAAGAAATCATGTACATCTGTAATTCACAAACCAGATACAGAGGCTCAGAAAAAGCGTTCGGAAAAAACGGGACTGCGTAATAACCCACAAATCGCCAGCGTCTAAAGGGTCGTTCGCCTGTCGTCCTTATGTCCGCGCGCTGATGCTAATCCATCACTTTTTAAAGCCCTCAGTAACAGCTCATCGACCGGTGATGGCCTGCTCACTGACAGTCGTCACAGTTTCAATGTCCCAACCAGACAATCGCTATGAGGCTACAAACTAGTGGTCTTCGGGCGAGAGCTGGCGGCGGCAAGGAGTTTATGTGATATGCCCACGGGCATTTACAAAAATGCTAAACACTTCTGAAACGAAAACAAATAGCAAAACATTAAAAGGATTTAATCTTCATCACTCGTTGGCAAACAAATAACGGTTATTGTCATGGAAGAGTGTTGGTGAAGAGGCTGATCTGCGCCTATGTGTATGATGTGAAGTCGTCGCTAAGTCTGGCATAGCATGTAAGTGCATTCTCATACATTGCGATCGATGGTCATCGCGCTGCGCATACACGCTATGATCTCCGAAGAGAGTTATGCGCAAGATCAATTTAAATTGCATGCGCACAGCCGCAAAAGTCAGATCCATAGGAGAGAGCCCAGCGACAAGTAGCAGCAGCGATGTGCGATAAAAACTACATTCTGAAGCAATCCCATTGTTCTCGGCGAAACAACGAAAGCACCCTAATTGATGCAGTGCGGCTATAAATTTTTACCATTTTCCGTACCGCACCAATTGCCCGCTAAGTCAGGAGGCACCTTAGCCGTCCGACTTGATTATGGCTTAACCTTCGCGCGGCTGATTTTCTTTTTCGGCGTTTTTTCATTCGCATTTTGGTTCATTGTTTTGTCCTGAATTATGCGGATAAAGTTGACGTTTGTGGTGTGATTTGTACAAGCGCATACAACAGTTATAAGACATGACAGCAACAACAACGAGCACAAACACGATGCGGTGTAGGGTTCAAGGGGCCGGTGCGACTCCAAACATGGGCACTGCACATGTCACCGTAATGTGGCTTGCTTACAACCGGCGAAGCTCATTGTACACTCCGTCTTTAGACGCCTTAAATGTCACAATAATTCGTTTTGCACACAATAAAGTAGCGTATTTAATGCATATGATCGGCAGTTAGCGATTTAAAAACAAAATCAAAAGCACATAATCACTTTGAAAACTTTTGGATCGGCAGTGTGGTCAACTAAATCCGATCAGCGGGCTTGGATCACAACATTGTTTCCGGACATGCTCTCCGCTCTTCATCGAAGCCTCAATCAGGCTTCTTTAGTCACTTAAACCTCCTCTACTGGGACAACTACTATACTATATATGCTATTATATATGTAGTCGAGTCGAGCACAGGGTAAGTCAAGATTTCGGAATTGCACTTTTTTCTAATGCTCTTCGTCCATTAGGGCAAAATGTCAATGCCATGTGGTAGTTATTGGCACGCATACATATGCACATGCCAAATACGCGGACCACTCATTGTATTTCAAATTTATTTAACACCTTCTCCATCGCCTGTCCGCTTTCATTTATTGACTCAGCATCCATTCACGCCATCCAAGCTAAAGCGATACATTTTTCGTCCGTCCTTTGCCATTATTGGCATGGTCAACGCCAGGGGCTATCACAACAACAATGGCATGTTTGATTATTACCCCGTTCAGCGCTCGAAACTCAAAGTGTTTCCACTAAATTCGCTTAATAGTGCTATATAATTTAAGCGAGTAATAAAATGAAAACGCAATTCGATTTTTATTCTCGCAGTTGTCTGTTCAACAACACACACACATATATTCGTATTATAAATTTAGTACATATCCAAGTGGGGCACCTCTTGGCTTGAAAAGGGGGCGCGTACACCAGGTAATAAGTTTGGTTAACGAGGGTTTAATTTATGATTTGTTATGTTTCCGGTTTATGTCGAACGAGTCTTGCATATGTGGTGGTGTGAGTGTGCGTGTGTGTGTCGAAATCGCTGCGGCTTCAAGGAGCAGATTACAGAAGTTTTTACTTCGAACGCGTTGAAAAGACAAATAATCGAATACCATTTGTTTAGCGAAACGCTAGAAAAAGACTATTGCTTATTCCCTTTGAACCCTGAAAAAAGAGCTGTTTTGCATTACTTACATGGACAAGAAATAGTCAAGAGATACCCTCAATAGCGACAGCGACAAAAAACCAATTTTTTTTCGAGCTTAAAAAAGTAGGAGGTTAATCTGGCTGCTTTGGGATCAGAACTTCACCTTTGAGTAAGTCACTGGTATTAAGAATTAGCCCATATAAATGATGCAATTGCATCGTCAAAGATATAAATCGAGTGATGAGTAATGAAGGTCGCTTGTGTTCTAACTTCGAATTCGTAAAGTTCATACCTACGAGCTCACATAGTCATTTGTATCTGCAATCAAAATTCCTCAACCGATACGATACGTCCATTGATGTAGCAGTGCCCTAACCATTCTTTGTTTTAACTCACTAATAATCCTTAATCCTTTCACGCTCACTGTGAATTTGTATGCAACAGAAAACATTACAAGAAAACAAATAAAAATGTAATTTGGCAAGCGAAAGATGGTCAGGGCGATTCCTTTTCGTTTTCGTCTGTGAACGAAAGCGAGAAGACGACGCATGCGTTGAAAATCGATTTGTCTGGTTGCGCCTGCCCAGACGGATAAGAACACATCCGCGACTGAACAGTCAAGCGAAGCTACCATTGGGCGATTCTCCGGTTCGGGCGCTCATTGCGTTTAGCGCTTGGGTGATGCGGCGGGCGGGTTTTTCAGCATGGATGGCATTGGCAACGAGCATCTCTAACCACATAAATTATGAGGCTAACAAGGCGAAGTTCAGCAGCAAGCCAAAGGATAAACGCCACAACCGCACGCCTGCAACAGTGACTGGCGACGGGCGGTTGGTGCGGCTGGTGCGAAAGTTGTTTGCGAGCTGGCAGGCAGGCGTCATGGAAATGATAACTTAGCGACGCGCTCCAGCACGATTGACTTAATTCTGTACCTTTCGCTGGCTACATGTGGAAGTTGCTTTGTGGGGCTACACAATTGCCACTGCTGGCAGTAATCAAAAACAGCAACAAATGCAAAAATACTGACGTTGGCAGGAGTAATAAACGTACGCCCGGCGGAACTATGAATTCGACAGTGGCTGCCTGCATGGCGGTTGTAGAATCGTTCGCATGCTTCGAAAGCAAGTGGAAGAAGTTAAAAATCAAATTAGCGAATGTGTTGAAAATTAAAAACAAATTCATGGATAAATTGCATCTGCAACGAGGAATTGCTGCCGTACGGCTTCGGGTAACTGACAGATACACAATTATTAAAATGTGCGCAGCTCGCAATACATTCTGGCAAGAGGTCGCTTATATGCGGCCGCAGGGAGTTTCAATCGCGGTGGAGGAGTATCTTCGCTTGGGTTGGAGGTGTAGCGGTTGGATGTGTTTTATTCGCGCGATTTGATGATTATTTGTACTTGATTTGTGTGTTTCTCTGGAACTCTGAAACGCTGTGGCCACCGGTGTACAAGTCAGTCGGGTAAATAAATACGAAAAGGCAGGTATGTGGTTTTGTGTGGCTAAAAGTAGACTTCGGGAAGAAGTACAGTTGCAGAGCAAAGTTAAGCAATATTAGTTACAATTTTACAGTTTATTCCTTTATTTAACAAATATTTATACACATATGATTTTTATTAATTTGTTTCTACCATTTCCTACATCGTCACTTCATCAAATCAAATATACCGGGTGAATTCCAAAGAGAATGGTTTTTATATTGCCGGAGGAAAATCTGAAGATATAGAAATATGTTTACCTAAAAGGGTTCATCTAAGTCCATCAATTGTTCGTAGACGCTTTGAACAAATAATACCTAATGTTGGAAAGGCCCAGAGAAATACGTAATAACGCCAATTTTTCATTATATTATATTTTATTCTTTGTTCGTGTTTATTTGCGTATTCCCAGCAAAGTTCACAAATACGCCCCACTTTATGTTCTCATTCACAGTTTCATGTTTTCTTCATTTGTTTTTGTCCTCCCATTGATTGAGGAGCGGCCAACCTGTAATCTTGCTGCCAAGAACCATCTAAGAACACTGCCAAAGAACGTTGACTGAATGCAGTGAGTGAAGCCGGAAAAAAGCAGAACTAAATTTTACGATCCAGTCGTTTAACAAATGAATTTATAACCGTGAAACGCCCAATTGTCTGGCGTTAAAATTCAAATGGCACTAAATTTGGCAAAACCTTAGGCGCAGCGGAGGCAACCAATGCCCGGTTGTTGAATTTGTCCGTCCGAAGTGGTGAGAATAATGTAGTCGTCTGCATTTGTGTGCATTTGGACAAGAGTACACATAGATTTACGTATACAAAACCCTCAGGCACTTAATTAGCACACACACAATCAAGCAGTGACAGTCAGCTGCGCTTAAGAGAGCAGGGCGCTTATATATCTCTCAATTTTCTTGTTATATCTTGCCAAGTTGCTTAGGTTTATAAATAAAAAGATAATAGACTGTGATGTTTATACGGAAATTTTATTTAGTTTACCTTGCAAAGTCCCTTCCTTTCGAAATTATGTAACCCAAAACGGAGAATATGGAGAGGATTACTTAGCAAGGTTCCACTGTAATCGTTTTTACGATAATGGTGTTATAATGAAAATTAATGAAGGCGTTGAGTTAAATTTAAAAAAAACCCTATAAAATTTAATGCAAATGTTAACCCCAATTTCACTAATAGGCCTTTTAAGTAACTAATTTCAATATTTTTTTGTAGCCTTCCTTTTTTGATTTGCAATTTTCATTTGAAACACGCATGCAAAATCGGATACAGTTTAGCTTGATTAAAAGTCCAACCTTTATGCTGTTCGCAAATTGCCCGCGCGCATGCGCAAACGCATAATTACGTGGCACACATAATTTTTCGGCGCTGTTACTTCGTTAATGTTCGCTATAAAAATATACGGCAAAAGCTTTGAAAAAAAAACGATATAATGCGTGCAAAGTGCAAGTTGCGTAATGAGCTTGCCACCGACGGCATGTTGCGCTTGGAAGTAAAGCGGTAATTGGCTACTATGGCAAAGCTTTTCGTGCTAAATTGCCACTTAATGAGGGGCCATAAGCAAATGCGATTATTTGAGAATAAAGGAATCCAATGATCCTTGCCAACATATTTGAATTGATGTATTCCGAACGACGAATCTCTTCATAACTTAGGTTAGATATATAATTACAGGCCACATTGGACTGCTGAAACAGTTGGCTGCCCCTTGATGGTTCACCATGGATTGCCAATATATTTTTTTAATAGCTGCAAGTGTATTGCGAATCATTTAATTCGCTGTGCCAAATGAACCGTTAATGATCTGAATTCCAGCAAATTAATGTCACCTTCAGTAACAAGATTACGAAGTCGCTCCGTTAACGTCGCAATGATTCTGCAAACAATTACAAGCTGCTGGAATTTATAATATCCATAACTACTTGTTTGCTTTCACACTTAATACCAACATTTTATAGCGCAGTGCGGCCCGCATGCAGTTGGGGCATGAAAACGTATCAACGTTGACCATTGGCCATCGTTAAATTTTTCCAACTGCACGACTACACGCTGGACCTGTCATTAAGTGAATTAAGTGGCAAGCGAGCCGCGGCGAACATTTCGCTCGATTCTCTTTCCTGGCGACAGCAGTAGCTTTCGTTCATCGCATATGCATGTGTATGTAATAGTGGCAGTGCAATTTTGCTCCCAACGCCCGCCGTCATTGATTATATTATATTGTTCGCGCATGTTCCGCCATTATGGAGTTATTATGATCAATAAGAGCAGGTTAAACGCTGCAATTAAGTCAAGTCATTTACGTTGCGGTCGTCTGCCCATCAACCGGAGCGAAGAGGTGGGGAGATAGTGCCCGTAAGCGATGCTTGATCGCTTGTTTGCAACTCACAAGCAAGGACCTACCTACTTAAATACACGATGATCGGGCCTTTCGGCAGTTTTGCGTAATTGTGCTTAATTTTTCCAGCGCGATCATTTAGTGTTACGAGCAAGCAATTGATTATAATGGGTCGCTATCATACGTATCGTATGGACCTCAACAATATGCTAAGTGCACGCATCACAATGGCCGTCAGCGCTATCGATCGCAGCGGCTTGGCTGCAGCAATTGACGAGCAACCGATTCATTCTGAAGTTGTCCGATGATGTAGCGGCTGTTGAATTTAAATGTTGTGCGCGATCAGTGCTTGCCATCTAATGTTAATCGCACACCAAACTACTTGTAAGTGTGTTTGCATGTGGCATGCCATTAAACGGCGTGGTACAAATTGTTGATACAAGTTGTATGCTGATTGAAGATCATTTTTGTTGAGAAAAACTATTAAGCAAATCAACAGTATCAGCCATGATCGCGATCGCATTATTATTCGGCAGTCACAGCTCCCTCCACGATTGGCGAGTGCTGAGCTAGTCAGTGCGGTTCGGATTGTGTGCGATCGCGTTAAGTGATTAGCCAGCAAGATAAGAGGTTGGTCTTTCGGCGGGACGTGCGCTCATGTTGTCGTTGTCTTCATGTACACTCAAGGTAGTAATTTAGGCATATCAAATGAAGAAAGTGCCTGCAAGTTTGGCGCATAATCGGTCAACGCGACCATTTGTGAGCTACTTGAGCAGCCACAACAGCCGGTTTTGTGTTTGAAGCGATAAGTTCTTACGAGCCATCAGCTTTGTGTGAGCGATATTTTTACGCAACTTTATTGATAACCGTTAAAATAACTTATGATTGCTGTTATTAATATCAATTGAAAGGCTGCTCCCTATTTTTATGGATAATTTTGTCAAACTAAAAGTGATGGCTTGACATTCATTTAAGTGCCTGGTTACAAATATCAAGTTTTGAAAAAAATGGATCTATTTGCCTGCCCTTTATTGTATGTCAAGCCAGTACTTACGCTAAGAGCTTTATATGGCCCATTGAAAGGTGGTGTCTGATTTAAACCGATATTCTAGCAGTCCTGTCTTTAAAACTCCGCTAACGGACCGCGAGCGATTTAAGGATTTTTTTTTACTAGGCAAGCATTATTAATTAGCGAATGGACTTTGTGAACTCGATTGCAAAGTGCCCCCTTTCGAGCAATGTCGCATGCACAAACATCCGATGCAAAAGCAACGGAAATGCAGTGGTCTATTCTATTTCAAGATAAACAACTTTTAATTATTCAGAATTTTTCTAGAAGCGTGGTGTAAGGATGTGTAAAAGTCAGAGCTGCAAGTAAATAGTTTAAAGAGAGTTTATAAAAATTGTAGTTAAGGGACAGTCCGTATCACTGCCACGCCCACAAAACGCCATTCAACGAAAACCTTTAAAGTGCCATAACTAAGCACTTACACCTATGGGCTAAACATTTTATAAAAGTGGCCGTAGCTCCGTCCCTAAATATTTCAAAATTGAAAAATGGGTGGCACCGCCCACCTTTAGGTGATATCACAAATATTAAGACCAACTTCAACTAAAATCGGTATATCACATTATTATTTTGACAGTGCGAAAAGAGGCGAAATCGGACTACAACCACGCCTACTTTCCATATAACATAATTTTCAATTCCATCTGATTATTTCACCATTCCATTAAACAGATCAAGCACCAAAGAATGTATCGAAATAAAACTTTGCACAAATAGCGCCTTTAGGGTATGTCATCTCAAGTCTAAAAATTGTCAAAATTGGAGCATTACTGTTCAATCCCCCAGATACCGAAAATGTGGACCCCAGTGCCTGTAGCTAACTTTTCACTAAAAATATCGGTCAATGTGGAAGATATATGAATGAATTTGGGAAAGAATCCTTTCCAGATAATTTGTATGAGGTTTGCACTGCGACCTAGGGTCTATTGTGCCTTTTCCAGATAATAGTGTGTCCGTATGTCAGAAATGGGTGAAATAGGGACAATACGTCCCTTAGCCCTCATATACCTAATAAACAGATTTTCAAATCATGCATATAACGGAGAATAGTAGACCCCGGCCACGCCTTACTGTGGCTAAGGTATAATTAAATTATATTGAGTAAGCAGTTTAATTTAGTAAAATGTTATTATCAAAACTAATTTCAGCATTTTTTCTGTCTATATAGCTCTATTACCGAGCCAGTTATGATTTAAATGATTATTTTATGCGACTGGGAAAATAAGGGCAATTACTTAATTTTGTCCGTGATAGTGCTGAAATTGGCTGGAAGTTTGGGGCATTTCGTATTTGGTTGCAGTTATTATTAAATACTTGCATTAAAATGAAATCATCACTGGTATTATTAATATTACCGTCAAAGTCGGTACATTTAAGTGGCGAGTAATTTTCAAAAATTAATAAATTAGTGCGATAGAATTTAATTAAGTAACCACATTTCCGAACAGACGATGCTCTTTCAATATACAAGTAGTCTATGGCTGTGAATGACGATGACATTCGTTACGCGCGTTTTTTAAAATATCCAAAATTAAATGTATTTTTTCAATCTTTCTGAGACATTTTCTTAATATTTTTTTCTGTAAGAACCTTCTACAGACCAAATCGGTCTAGCCGTTCTCAAGTTATGGCGGAACAACGGGAAACGGGTAATTTTTATATATTGTACATATAAAGATATCTCATTTGATGATGATTTTAATATAACCCGATATCTTTATAATGGGTTCCTCACACAACTAAGCCTGAATATTTAAAACTGACTTCATAATGCGGTTTGTATTGAATTATCGATTAATGGTCTCAATTAAATTTTTATTTATTTACTCCACAGAAGATAGCTAGCTTCCGCTTTCGACAGCAGCAATGGGTGTAACAGCTGGTGTCCGCGTGTCAATGCAGCTGACTCCTCAGTGTGGGTGTAAATGTAAATGGTTTGAGTGTTGGTTGACATTTCACACAATTACATACTGGACGGTTTGTGTTAGTCGCTGGCGCTCGGATTATTGCGCATGCGCAAAACAATAAAATCGCATGCCAACGCTGCGCATGAATAGTCCAACTAATTTTATAAAGAATGGACGCCAAGTAAGGAAGGATGAAGTGAATAAAATATTTGAACAGTTCGCCACTTAAGGACTCAATAGGAATGACACTGTGACAAACAGTCGAGTGGCGAATGATGGCACAGAACACTCCGCATACGTCCTTACGGTGGCAGCAGTTGTGCTCAAAATTTAAAAGGGCTCACGACACAACGGAAACAGCGTGTATGTGTATGTGAGAAGGCCGTTCCAATTGTACTGCCGTGTTTAATAGGCAATATTTAATTTGCTGTACAATGAGCCGCTTTAAGGACACTGTAGTTGTACAAAACAAAACGGCTTCTTGCCCCAAGTGTTGCGATTCTGCTGAAACTAAACTGTACATACATGTGTATATACGAAGATATATATTGGTACTTGCTCATACATTTTCACTTAATTAATGAGCCCAATGATGACGATGACATTTTTGGTTTTATTTTAATTCGCTTTGTCCTTCGACACGGAACTGGAGGCGAGGGACAGCTGGTTGCTTGTACTTTACTCTATAAATTCACCGTGTTGCTGCAATTCTAGGCCCTTCTTTAGGAGTTTCAGATGTCCTTTGTTTGCCTGCTTCTTTTGCAACTTAATTATTGCTGGCGGAGGGTTGCTGGAATATGCTTTAAATTGTAAATTAATGACTTTTCGGCTGCCAAGTCGCTTGTTTCTTGCTCACTTTATTTCGTCTCCATTGTGAGGTGTACACATGTACATGAGCATGAATACCTACCAAACACTGTATGCATATAGAGATATAGCTTTGTTTTTGTATATGTCCCAGGTTTAACAATTTTGTTTACTTCATCGAAATTGGTTTCGCACTCTCAATTGCGATAAAAGCCGCAACGAAACAAACAAAACAAACTCATAATAATAGCAACAGAAGAGAAATCATTGTTAGAAATTTTCCCAATGACTGCGTCCTTTGTACAATATATGAGTATCAATAGCAACGCGGTAGCTGGTGCTGGCGAAGAATAGTTATAAAATTAGCCAATAGATCGGAAAAGGTGTAAAAAATGCGCTCAGGTGTTAAAAGCAAGCTAATGGCTCTTCTATTGGTTGGCTACACACATACGCATACACACACAGGCATCTACAACAATTCAATCGAGAACAAACCAAGGACAATTATGAGTGTTCAGGGCTCGAGTACCGAACAATGGTATGCGAATTCCAGATAATTGAAAAGTCAAAACGAAATCATTGTCAAACGTTATTGGTATAAACGAGAACAATAAATGACAATAGCATCGGAAACAACAATTAAATTGAACAATTACACAAAGTACTTAACTAAAGTGAGATTTTTTAGGTTTTAAATTATAATGGATATTTAACTGAATGGCAAAAATTTCCTTGTATTCCTTTTGAATTAAAATTCTTCAAATTGATATTAAGAAGAAGGAGCAGAAAGCAGGGGATTCTGCGATACGTAACTCTAGTACTATGGACAATAACGCCATCTCTTAGATAAAAACCGAACGAACTTTTTACTTGACCTAATATATAGACATACTCGTAGACATAAAGTTAAAGCAATGGGAAACAGTAGCCTTCTGAAGACCGTTCTTCTGCAACAGGACCATTTCTGCATTAAGCTTCCATGTCAAAATTAGTGATGATCAAATGTTTCCTCCATCAGCCGCACTGAAAACTTATCATTGCCATTTAAGTCTTGCATTATACTGTACAAAACTAAAATCGGTTCAGTAGTTTAAGAGTTTGCCCTAGACAATCAACGTCACGCATAATTTTTATTTACATATTTAGTTGAAGCCTTCAGCCTTTTTTGGAAATGGAAATATATATATATATAAGGAAGTGAAAGGGGCGACATAGCAGTTTGAAAGTCAAGGTCATTTCTGTTCTAGATTAGCAATGTAGAAAAGAAGAAAGGAATAAAGGTACTTTTATCGACCGTACAAACGGCGAAATCTTTGTATTTACCCTTAGATCAAAGGATGAAACAAGAGTTCTCTTCTTCTATAGCAATGTACAAAATGTAGCTTCAAAGTAATCGCTACTATTCAAAACCGAAGGCGCCAAGTGAAGATCAGCTCTAACCAAAAAGTTTATAACTTTCTTGCAGATAAGGTTATGTAAGAAGGCAATAAAGACTTTTAGTGCCAATACCGATAGATGATAGTTGGGCCCCTAGACCGTTCAGTTCCTTCAAATACTCCTTCTGAAGGGATTAATGAACGCAAGAATAACCCCTTAGGTCTCGGAGCACCAGAATTAATTGTTAAATTGTGCAATTAATAAAAAAAATATTTTTTTATTTCAATTTCGGCTGTTGTGCTGTAAGAAACAAAAATTAAACTAGCCGTTTTGCTTGTCAATTTACACCTAACTTGTAATTTATTGCTAGTGGCTTGTAAAAGACTTCTAGGAAAGAAGGAACAGAGTACCATGGTAGGAGTCATCACAGGGCATTTAGCCCTGATATCGCTACATCAGAAACTTTAAAGTGTATTCGGTAGAATATAAATCATGCGCGGAGAAAGATGAGATGCCAGAACACTTCCTTGGCGAATGTCCCGTTTTCAGCCGGTTGCGACGAGATGTTTTCTAGTGTGGAAAAAGTAAGAGTTATCATCAAATGCTTTAAATTCTTTAATTGGGCTTAATTGGTTATCACTTGGCCAAATGTGCCAATTGATGGCTAAAATGTGGCCACTTTTGTTAAGGAGGTTCTATGCCTCCCTTCTCAACCAACTCATTAATCAACCAAGCGATTCCATAAGCACTGATTTGTTAAAGAGCCTCCATTCGGGAAGTGTTAACTTCATTAACTGGAACCAATTTTCCATATATTCCTGCCAATAGAATTGACAATAACAACAACAAACACAATGGACATTAGCAGCTGTGGTCTACTGGCACCAATGAAGTAGCAGCATGCTACGCCGCTATTCGCACCACTTGCATCACTCATGCCCCGTCGCAGTACGGGCCGTTTCCCTCAAGCTATTGGCTCGTGTGCAGCACATGCACTTGCAAATACGATAGTAAGCAGTGAAACGCGCAAAGAGAAACAATAAAACAGAAACTGCGCGTTTATTCATAATTTTTTCTCGGCGTTGCAAGAAATCGCTACAACTTAATTCTCAGCGTGAAATGCCATAAAACTGTTTTAAACTTATGTTAATAATTTCCCATTGAATAGTGAGCAACATGTGCGAGAAGTAATGCAAGTAAAACGTGGTGCAGAGATGCGCACTAAAATTAAGGCTGTGCAAAGGAATCCTCGGCCAAACGCAGCAATAACGCAACGAACAGCGACAATGTGACTAAAGGTGCTGGCAAACAGATTTCACGCTGTGCTGATTTTAGGTATGCGTTATGATTGCAAGCTGACACCTCACGCCAGCCACGGCACGCTGCATGTCCTCATCCATATACCGTCTACATGGATGTTGAATGCAAGCACATTTGTTATTGTAAATCGCATATACTATATTTCCCAACCACATTCCTCATCTTCATTGCACGACGACACAAGGAAAGTATTCCCAACCTTCCGGAGAACAATATTAAAAATGATAATTAGATTCTAAGCCCCTATATCTCAGCCAGCCGAAAATCTTGGAGAGTGGTGCATCGAAGAAACAACTGTTTATACGTTTTTAGTGTTAATATAAAATCCATATTCACGCTTGTGTTTGATTCAATTGGATAATCTTGTTGTTGCATTCATCTTTTTATAAGAAAACAGAGCTGTAGTATAGCGAGAAGAGGAGTGCGAATCAAATACATACTTAAATTTGCTCGGACTGACGATTCAAAGAACTGCTAATCAATAATCGACGTCGGCTTATGTATATCCTTGCTCACATGCTATATAAAGATAAAGAGATTGGTGCAAAGTCTGAATGTTTTTAAAAACTTTGATTTCCAAGCTAATGTGAAATGTATTCACATACCTCATAACATGCATCGGTAACATTTACGTTCGAAACCCGATTTCCTTCACCTTAGAACGAGTGCATGCGTGGTTCCACTAAATACACTTTTCTTTTATTTCGGTGGACTTTCTTATTGAGCTAAAGCTGTTCAATAGCTTGGTTTTTCGTCTGAACCGTCATGGTCGATCTAGGCATGAGCTCAAGCGGCGGCAACAGAAAAACTTGTTAACTCATTGAAGGTGTTTAGTTAAGCCGATAAAAATCTATAATTAACTTTCATTTAAGACACACTGCGGCTGTGTGAGTTCAGTAAAGGAGAAACACCTGCGTGTGTGAGTATTCATAAATATTTAATAAACAATTGGAGATTTCGAAAAAGTTAAGCTTGCTAAAAAAAATGTGAAATTAAGTTTAGTTTCAGTATATTAATATATGTATAGATTTCCTAGCCTCGAGCTTTTCCCCGTTTTAAAAACTTCGAACACAGATTTTCCCTTATAAAACTTTTAAACTATGACGAAAACTAAAAATATTTGCTTCCAATGAGGCACCGATTCGGAGACTCAGCACATGTTCCTCTAAATTTCCAGAGCATGTGTTTTAAGCAGTTCGTCACTGTAATAAATCACATGGTTCATGAGGAAGTGCTTGACCATGATTAGCATCTCAAGCAAGCCTTCAATTGTAGCGCACAAATACACTTTTGAGGCATCCAGCAGGGCTCCAATTGTTCAATTGACGCAAATCAAAAGTCTGGTGCGGATTTTCACGCTTGCAAGGACGCACCAGATACCAGACGGCATATGGGTATGTGTGCACAATAATGATGGATGTAATCGCTTAGGTTGAATCTACTATGGCAACTATGCTTGGATGCATGAGGCAATAATAATAATAATCTTAAGGCATACATACACTTGTTTATATGCCTCGCCTACTATATGCTGGACATAGCCAGTCAACCAAATAACTGCCCAGTTGGCTGGCGATAAATAATGCCTACAACTTAACGAGATGTTATCTTACCAGATTAATTCTTTATTACCGCAATCTGTTGTTGATTGCTGGACAGTGCGAATCCTCGCCAAGCGGCCAGGCACTTAGCGAGAGAACAGCGCAGCTATGGAACTCTTACAAAGGTGGCTTGCGCGGAATTCACCAGATTGCTCAATTACTTGCTTTAAAAGTCAACGAAAATATGAAATAATGAATACAAAGTGTATGCCAGTGCTCGTGTCAAGCATGTTTAGCCTATTTAAACGTCACAATGTTACTAAAATGTTATCAACAACGTCATTTCTCAATCAGAAGCTCCCTTCCTCTGGTCTTCTCACACACTTCTATAAATAAGCACCAGCATTATTCTCAAGCTGATAATCGACCTTACCAACAACAAATTGGTGCTGCAAAAGAAGTCACCGCACTCTCACATTCTCCCCCCTGTTATCATGGATGCTTAGCTGCTGATGCGTATGAGTGAGTGTGTGCTCCCCAACTATTAAAATATGATAAATTGCATCTATTTTATGGGGATGATTTTAACAAGACAATTTAACAAGCGTAATTTAATATTTCACTCCTTCTTTTCTACACGCTGTTCGCGCCACATATTTGTATATTTTCGGTTGCAAGTTGGCGCACACTGAAACACTGGTTGCCCCAGAGCCACATCAATAATGTTGTAAGCAGATAATGGCAAGAAAAATAAAAAAGAGAAAGACAAACACGGCAGTTCTGTTGGATTTGGAGTGTTCTTTTTGAGGGCAAAAGGTGGTTGGTAAATCAGCGATGCCGATGACTGTCGTATCTGTTGTTATTACATAAACGAAAAACGAATCGCACCCGGGGGAACACTTAGTGCGATACGCATTTTCATTCATATTATGTAATAAAGTATATAATATGCACATCAAAATCCACATAGTATATGTAAAATATATAAATACGATTCTGCCGATAAAAATAAAAAAATACCTTCCAGTCTCCCTGCTGGCCGTTGAAAAGCTATAATAGTGGATTTACCAAAAAAGGCAGGTTAGATTAGGTCGTAGGGTTGATATTAGACAGCTGCGAACGCTGGCTCTTTGTGATTCCCAAAACTCATATACCGACGAAGCTTTTAGAGCTTACCACACATTTCTTAAGGCAGCTAATATCAATCCGAGACAATTCACTAGGTTCGCCAAAGTTTTATCTACCGAAATACTGCAGTCTAGCAAACGTTGTAGGAAGGAAGTGCCTAGATGATTCCACCTCGTCCGACAAGATATTTAGACCCACCGCAAATATATAAGCTTATTTGACAGTGTACAGTTAGAACACCTAAAATTCTATTGAGATAAACTTTGCTAAGAACAAGTAGTTCAGAGGACCTTTTAAGTTCCATTCTTGATCAAAAGGATCTCGCAGCCGCACATGTTTGGGTTGTTGGCCTGCGCTTGCCGAGATCACGGGATATCCACAGATCCAGCGCTAGAGCGCAATAGGACAACCGGGTACCGACTCGTTCCCTATCTGATAAAATTGGTATAGGCTTCTCTTGCTTAACTTCGACGGTTCATACGAGTAGAATATACAAACACTTGTGAATTAAGTTTGCTAATAAAGAGCAAATCAAATAAGCAAGCTTTAAATTTAAGAAGAGGACATTACGGGACATTAGCTTAAAGTCCGCAATATGTGCAACAGTTCACAATAATTAGGCAGCAATTTACCTAAAGTATATGAGCAAAAGATGAATTTGTTTAGCCATTATATCTGTCTGTGCAAAGGTAGAAATAGGTATATACTTGAGTATTTTATGTTTGAATTAATTGTGGCCGTTATTGCAGTGAAACCGGAGATCTATTTTGCTTCTTAATGTGATTATCTCCACACTAAGACCATTATCTAATAAACTTAAATGCGATACCACATTGATTTATTAGTTTATTGCATGCACAAATGTTAGTTTTATTAGTTAATTAAGAAATTACATTCAGTCACAACAACTTTAACTCGGGTATCTATAGAGACTTCGAATATTAATCACTTTGGACCGGTGAAAATGTGAGCCCACTCTTTAAAATACCTTTGAAATGTGCCTACACGCACACAAGTACGAGTATATGAACTTGAGTAATATCGTAATTAATATACACAGACGCTTAGGTCGACTTGTATGCCTGGCGGCTGTGTTGGGCTTTAAGTAAGCGATGACCACAATAACAATATTGAAATTCTTCACTCTAACTAATGATGAATGATTTTTAAAAATCTGATTGAGCTGTTATTATATTTGTTGTAATTTCTAACAAATTAATTCAAAATTACACACACATGCACAAAAGTAAACAAGATACTTACCGCTTTCAATGCTGCCTGTAGGCGGCCCTCACAAATTGCAACGCCTCCAAGTGGTGTTGTCTTTGAGTCCTACAAATGATGGATTCCGCATTAAATTACAAAATGACGATGTTAACGAAGTGCC